GTCAGACACAGGGGAAGCTTCTAGCAGCTTCTCACAGAAGCCACCCCTGTAGCTCCCCCCCGCTACCAAAACCTTGCCACACAAACCCAACACATCCAGCAATGACCAAATCCTGCAGCAGTCTCTTATATGCCTCACACGTAAGCCTGTGATTTCCTATAATTTGTCAATTTTTTTCATATTTTTCCAATGCATTTTCTTTCAAAGAGCCAAAATCCTCACCTTGACCTTCATGTCAGTGTCTGTCAGCACCATGAAGAAGTCATTGTAGGTCATCCCATACTCTTTCCTCAACTCATTGATGAGCTGCTGGTCCACAAGATCTTCATCTTCTATCACTTTCATGGGCTTTTCATTGTCTTAATGTGAGACAAAGGAGAAATAAAAATAGTCATGGAATCACACAGCACTCTGCCTTTAATTTCACCTTGAAAGAAAGGGGGAATTTAATTTCCCAGAAGCCCTTTTCCTGCTGCATAGGCAAGATATTAAAAAACATCAATGTGGCACTATAGCTTTTAACTGTCCAGTTTTCAATCCTAGTATTTTTTTTAAATCAGTCTATCCTAGGGCACATGCACTTCAGAATTCAACATTTCTACTTGCTTTTGAACAATCTTGGTTGCCTGTTCTTTCCTGGAAAGACCTTTTAGATTTTTTTCAACATGCTTATACATGTATGTTCACGCACTAATCATTTCACGAGCTCGTGAAATACAGCCACTTCTGGAATAGAAAATAGAAACTAACAATTTAGGAGCAGGAGCTGGAAAGCACTATATCCAAATGAAACAGCATAGAGAATTTGGCTCAGTAAAATACAGCTAGAACAGCTTCAAGTTGGCCAGGACGCTAGACTTAACCTTTCCAGTCTTAAAAAATTACATGAGAGGTTTAGTGACTACAAGAAACCAGAAACTGTTTAATGTGCCTTGAATACTGCAGTCCTAGCTCTTCAGCTGTCTCTGTATACCCTGCTGTGGCACTCCTCCTCCACCTGCTTGCTGATGTTAATTTCCCATTCTAGTACTGTGACAGGAAAAAACTTAATTTTGAGAATGATTTGTACCTACTCACTGCTATACCCTAAGAAAACATTCAAAAATGCTTGAGGAGAAAAAGACCTCTGAAGACAGAGATTTGAAGCATGTATAAGACAAGCCTGTGGAGGTCCTGAGGCTCCTTACTTCCCCTGCAACCAGGATGTATTAGGGACAAGTCCTGAAAGCCTCCGTGTCATCAGCTCAGCCTCAGCTGTAGCATCCAGCACAGCGCTATACAACTGCGACAATGCTGGAATGGGCCTCTGTGTGCAACTGTGGGCCTGGAATGCTAAAGACAGGCTAAATCACTCACAAAGTGAAATGTCACCTGTGCACAAACGAGCTCTCTGCAAACATTACTTGCTTATGCCTTGTGCCACCACTATGAATATAAATACTCATATTCTCACTTAGAAATCCCAGTCATGGCTTACATGACCTGCCTATAGTAAAAAAGAGATGTGACAGCTGATCAAGAGCTTGAATCCAGAGGTACATCTTGCCAGTCCCCTGCTCCACAGGGAAATTGAGCACACAGCAACAGAAAAGATTTGGTTCCTTATACAATAAGGCATTTAAAATAATTTTCTAAACCTAATTTTCTAATTTCTAAATTTTCCATAGCCTTTAAGGAGCATACTGATCCGATGATTGAAATTTTGCAGTAGGTCCAAGCTGTATAATAGACTGAACAAAACTTCTGAATTAAAACTTTGGGAAAATGTCTGAACCAGAACCTGATCTTTAGGTTTCACACCTTGGACCCACTTCTTACAGAAAAAAACAAACCAACCAGCAAATACTAATCAAACTATAGATGTAATATATATGGGTTTACACGGTTATATATACCTCAGTTGAAAGTTTTGTGAAGAATTATAGACAATGTTATAAACTCCCCATTGAAAGGGTTGCTGGATGTGCTAATTGGTTATTCACTTTGTAAAACATATGTAAATCATGCATCAGTGCTTCATAAGTGAGATTTACATGTTACTAATGGCAAGCATGACCATTAAAACGTAGACCAAAATTCATACTTATGCCTGCAAACAATTCCCTACAATGGCAAAGACTATCTCATTGGTCTCCACAGAGGCAGAATAATGCAAAAGATGTTAGTGTGAAATGTGATGGCAAACGGCTGTATGGTGCGGTACCTTAGACCAACTGACCCATGGCACTCTTCTGCTTTAAAGACTGTAGATATCAACATGAAGAGAGCACTTTAGAGTTTCATTGTTAGGAGATTTTCTTTCAAAGCTTACAATGTAAAGAAGAAAATTAAATAACAAGAGTGGTACAGACAAATGTTTCGGGGGAAAAAATAAATAATGCCACAAAGGCTGGCCTGCCTTTCAAACTTGGAAGTGATTTCTGGGAGAAAAAAAAGAAGTTAATCTAATCACCTTTTTCCAATTCACTACTTGTCCCTGACTTCCACCTCATAAAGGACATCTGGGATCAGCATGAAGAGTAACAGGAGTTGAGACTGTCTGCTGCTACCTGAAAAGTCCTCCCTCTTTGCTCTTTCTAAAAAGGTCACTGAAAGAGTTTGGAAACTTTTCTCCATACATCTTTAGCAGCTGGACAGGCTGGGAAGACGAGTTACTCTTTACAAACAATTCAAATGAGGTTGCAAAGAAGTTCAGCAGCTTGTTGTAGTAGTACAGTGGCCTCATAGATTAGGTGTTGGCTTTGATCATAAGGTAGGTAGCCTGGGGCTGGTGTTTAGTTGACTAAAGCTCTGTTCCCATGAGTTGGGGAAAAGAGACCGCATGGCTAACTCAGGGTGAAGAGAAGACCTCAGCTTTTGTGTCATTCCAGTGGGAAACTGGGAAGCGCTCTTTGGTTTCAGTATGAGCTGATCTTGGCCAAACAGTGTTAATGAGCTCTCTTTCATTCACTACTTCCAAATGTGTTTGAAATTTCAAGTGAAAAATCTTTTCTGTGGGTTTTTCTGTTGTCATTTGTATCTCAGTCCTAAGATGCAGCACTGCAAGTGGACCTCATCATGCCGAGTGCTAAGGCTTCTCACTACAGCATAAATACTGTGAAAAAAATGTTTCTTAGGAGCTTTTTCTGCCTCTGTGCTGACACAATGAGCCATGAAGAGGCCATGCAAGCAGGAAGGGTAGAGGAGAAGGGGAGATAGAATAGAAAGACATTTGTATTATTTAAACTTTTTAAAAAGCTCAGGATTTGGTGTTTTGGGCAAAAATGTAAGGTGAACTTTATGTAAGGTTTAACTTACACTCTTCCAAGTCTCCTGCTTTTCTTCAACAAGTTAATTCCTCCTGTGAGAATTCAGCTGTTAGATACATTTGTGTGGTTTGGGGAAAGTTTGGGTGTAGGTTAAGTTTGGAACAGGCTGAAAGAGCGTGGTCTGTGTCAGAGTGAATGTCTGTTTATTAGCCAGACTGGAGCTAAATATAATCCTAAACAGTCCACTGACAGGCAGATGGGTCTAGATACACAAAAAGTGACCTTGAGTAACCTTGGCCTGATGTGGAAAATCCTGTACCACTCCAGATTTGTCAAGGAGGTGCACAAATGGACAGTCTGGCAGGATTTGTGCCTTGCTGTCATTCAGGGACACAAGGCTCCTGATCCCCCACTATGTCCTCTCCCTCTGAGAGTAGTAGAGGCACAGCTGGAAGCCAGACATAAATCTGTGATCTTCTGGCCTGTTTTATGCCAGACCTGAAATACCCTGGTATTTCAGGTGATCCTGAGCTTTCTGTTCCATCACACACCTCTTCCTAAGGTCTGGTAAAACCAGATGAATCTCCAGAAGAAAGATATGGTGGACTTATAAGCAAAACTAGCAGCTTTTTTTACTGTAGATGCAGACAGCAATATGATTGTTTACATGATTCAAGAGACACCTAAGCTTAAGTGCTTTGCTGGACTGGGACCTGAAGTCGTTGTCCAAATCCTTCTGTTACGAAAGGAAAGGTTCTCACTGGCTTGGGTGGGTGCTTCCCCAGGACCTGAACACTGACACCAGTTATTTCAAAGCTGCCTAAGAGAGACAGATGCCCAGTGTCACCTGTCTATATGGGAACTCCCTATGTAAAGAAGGTGGTACTAAATATGGCTGAATGAGCTACTTTTTGAGTCCTTCATAATCTGATTTATAGTGCCTCCAAAACTTCTGACTGCGGTGACATGAACCTCTTTACAATAACCATGTCACACTAATGGGTATCTTTCTTGCTTTAGGGATAAAGAGAGGTGACAGGACTTCAAATGGTAAACCTTTTCATATCAAGTATGCTGGTGCAAATTTGTAATGTTGTTCATATCTAGAGGCTATGGTTGAAATCTTCTAAATTAATATCTGTCTGCCAGTACAGAGGGGAAAATGCACCTGGACCTTTCCTTGCTGTGGAGGAGAATACTCTGTGAACATATCAAAATCAGCTCTTAAGACTAGGAAAGCTGATCCTGGGAAAGAAAGGAACTTGCAGCAAGTGGCCTAACTGGCACGCTTCTCTGTTTCCTGGGTTTAGCCAGTGTGTGCCCCTGAAAAATGAAGCTTTTCCCAGGACCTTGTGAGGAGTGCAAAGGTATGAGAAAATGCTGTATGGCAGAGCAGGAAGATAATGAAGTTGAATTTCAAAATAGGATTAACTTGGGCCAAGTTTTTAATATAATCTCAAACAGTTCCCTTCACCATTTCCTGCCCCCAATCTCCTGTCCTTCATGACAACAGCCATGTTGAACTTTCTTTAAGCAGTGTTTAAATCATGCTAGCCAGTATGTAACCACCCGTGGCTCATGTCCTGGAAAAACCAAGGGTGAGGGGGCATTGTATTAGGGCAACCGTTCAGTTACACAGTGATGCTGGTATTCAAGATATTGGTAGAGCTGAGCCTAATTTCCTCTTTCTGTCCCATGCTGTCATCCCTTTTTTCTGCCTTTTCACTGTTTCACTAGCATTAAGTATTCCCACAAAGAAAGCTGAAGGTGCTCAAGTTACAGCACTGGAAGCCTAAACATGGAAAATACTGGAGACACTTATGTAAATACAAAAGGGGTGTAGTTGGCATGGAAGGAGGAGGAATGGGTTTGAACGTGCAACTGGACCACAACAAATGATCTTGCTTAGATCTTGACCCAAGATGGGGAGATTTCTCCCTTTGCTGTCTGTATTGTGCCCACAAGATGGAAAGAAATTATTAAAAAAAAAGAACCTAGCTGGAAGTGGTCAATTTTCATGCTGCTGTTGTTCATGGTGCCAAAAATGGTAATGACTGAGATCTTCCTCGTTGCCATCTTGCAGAAGCTTTCCAGATACTCGTCTCGCTGCTGTACATACATCGTGTTGTCCGCCTTGGGGGTCGTGATCAGCTGGTTGGTGGCAGAGACAAAAGAGCTTGTTTAGTATAAGGAATGAAGCAGATGAGTATTTTACTGTAAGGAGAACTACTCACTGTCTGCAAACTAGGCTTTCTTTTCCATACAGCTGTTGACAGCTCTGTAGCCTTATTTTATTTATTTGTGGCTGGAGTGTACCTTTAGGCCCAGGCCTGACCCAAAGTTGTTCAATCAGCCACAGGAAAACCTTGGGAAGCATGGCTGGCTGGTAGCACCAGCTGCCCCGCTGCCTCTCCACAGTGCTGATAGAAGAAGTGGCACTGGATTTTACAGAAAACCGTGTACTCTCCTATTATCCCTTGCCCTGCCAGTCCTGCCAGGTCTCCTGCACAGCCTTCAGTGGTGCCACAAATCTAGGATTCCTTCTGTTCATTCACAGTGGGAGCACTGGGAACATGGCAGCCACCCTGGCCTCATCCCATGGTCCAGGCAAGGGCTCCTGGTGGCCGTTTTGACTGTCAAGGGTTGAGTACATGACTACTTATGTAACTGATGGCCATGTAAGAAGACCTTGAAAACTTGCTAAAGCCACTGTGACCTCATATGAAAATTGCTGATTTAGCTTTTGTTCTAAGCCACTTTGATATCTACAGGACTTACATTTGCTGAGAAGACATGGCTATGGGGAAGAGCAGGAGGAAGAACAATTACAACAACAAAAGTATAAAAATCTCTACCATTTATAGTACTTATTTCAAAGCCTCCTAACAATTGCAAAGATTTAACTTTTAAAAAGTTTAAAGCACACAACTTTTAGATTCTTCATCAGTGACTGAGATGCAAATATTTTGCAGAAGGTGTGTGCGTAACAACATTCAGTGGTCCTATGCAGCAGTTTCCAGCAGAAGGTGGAGAGGAATGCTGCAGCTCTAGCAATGTAATTATTCTAATGGCAGCAGTGAACTGCACCTGCCACCAATCCCTTGAACACAAAGGGAGTTGGAGTCTGGATAAAAAGGTTATGTTTTAAAGTCATAAATAATCACCAGAATCCTTCAATTGCAAATTTATGCTTTAGTCTGTAACAGGTGCAATCATCTTCTAGCTGCCTTCTTAAGTTTGTAGGGCCTGGAGGCTAATTTTTATGATATACTCCTTATAAATCCAGTTCATCAATGTACTGAAATGTGAGTGGCATTTCTGGGCTTATAAGATCTGACTCTTATTTATGCAAAGGCCCCCTGGCATGACTACAGCATTGGGACATGAAGGTGAATGAGAGTCAGACACAGAGAGGATTTAGTTTCTGGGCCATAACATGTAACATGCTTTTAAATTGCATAGAAATGCTTCAAATGAAAAAAGGATCATGAAAAGGATTGGAGGACTGAGATCAAAACCAGACCATTGGTTTGTATTGTCCTTCTAGTTTCGGAGGCCGTAAGCGGGAACGCACAGTCAAGTCTAAATTTGATCTACTTCATCAAACCTTGTAAAACAAAGCAGGGAACATTTAAGAGGCAAAGCAAATGTTAAATCAAAGCTTTGTGCTAGGACTGTTTTAACCCAGGCAGTATATACTCTGTATCTATCCACATTTGCATGCACATGTGTGTATGTGCATGTGCATACATGTGCATGTGGGTATCAATGGAGTGTTATATATAAACTGTAAATCTACATTTCATCACCACAGAGAGATAAACAAAAAATCCAAACTCACTGAGCCAAGACTTCTCAACATTAGGAAGACTGCAATAACAGCCCCACGATAGAGAGGTGGGGCTGCAGGACTCAAAACACATACATTTTTCCCGGTTTCTGCAGTTGGGTCCTATATTTGTCATTAATTGAACTTAACCCAGAATAGCACTCGAAATTCTGGATGTTTGAAATTCATGCTGAAATCTGCAATCTGAAATGATGTGTAAGACTTAAACCCCCATGCCTCTCTCAAAATACTTTTGGGAGAGGACTGAAACGATGTCCTTGGGAGCCAGTCTATTAAAGCGGCTGAAGGACAAAGCGATGGGGAATAACTTGGGTAAAGCCACTTCTGCAGCAGTGTGGGCAAATTCTCGAAAGAGGGAGTTCAAAGACTCATGAATGGCAGAGTTCATCTAGCTGGAAGGACTGACCCTGAGGGAGCTGAAGAGTTTGATAGGAAGGGATGCAAGTAGGCATGTGTGTAGATTCAAAGAAGCTTGAGAAGTTCTTTGTTTTCCACATGTAAAAGCCACTGCTTTTACTAATGACCAAATCAAACCTATTCTCCAAGAAACTTCAGAGCAAGCAGGCTGAGGATGGTATTACATACTGGAAAAGTGAAGTGCAGCGTGGCATGATAATTTGTCTTCGGTGAGTTTTGGCCTGACAACCTAAGATTGTGCAACTCTTTTCTTGGAGATCCAGCTGAGAGGTGGCTTAGTATCACAAGGTTCAAATTTCAGACCAGCCTTTAAGTTGCCAGGACTGTGTTGGTGTAATGAATTAGCAGCCTGACATCTGTGAGTTCTGCTTTTGGCTTTTTTTCAAATTTGTTTTTATTTTTCCTGATGCTGCACTTATTTTGGAAGCCACAACATTGAGATATATGACCAAGTTTCAAATTTCTGTGCAGTTTCTCTCTTTGAGCTTTTGATTTGGTTAACTATTAGTTAACAAGTGACTAACAGGCATTATTTGCAAAATTCAATCAAGGTCAAAATTTTCAACTACATGGCTCTTCTCTGTTTCCATCCTGTTGGGGAATGCAAGTCTGCTAGCTCTGCATAGCCCCTACAGCTGGAAGAACGGGAAGGGTAGAAGAAAGTTGGCTTCAGCTCAGGACTGTGAATCATCAGCAGAATGATTAATTCAATTCCAGTGGTTGAAATCTTAGTTTGGCATCTTAGCTATTTGTATTGGAATATGGGCCATGAAAGTCAAAGCTATGTTTGTGATGCTGACTATTGTACAGTAACTGTGAAACAGGCCAGCTTGCAGTGGAATAATTGCAAGAAACTGGCTCCCACAATAATATTTTTAAAGAACTGTTTTTCAAAGTGTACCTTTCAGGGTATGTGCCATCTGCCAGGAAAAACATTTGTACTACAACTAAAACTGTTTCCTGTCCCAGGTGAAGTGTTTTTTTAGATAAGTAGTTGGAAAAACATACAACACTATTAAACCCTGGGACAAGTAAGTCCAGACCATGCTGAGTTTCTCAGACTTGAAAACTTACCCTAGTGTTATAGTTTAATAAAAACAGCAGGGGAAAAAACCAAAACAAAATAAAGCTTGCACGGGATCTCTGAAGATGTCTAGGAGACTTGAATGCCAAATTCCCATCAGAAAGAATAGCAAATGTAACAATCCTACCTCAGGGCATCTGATCATATGCCTTAGTGCATATCCTCAGTCAGACATGTGCTAGCACTGCCAAGCCACCTGGCTTGCTTCCAGTTTTGGGACACCAGCACCAATATAAAACAGGTGTGCCAGCTGGCAGGACAGGCTGAGCATCAAAATGTGGTAACGTTGGCAAGTACCCCAAAGCGATGAAGGGATGTAATCCACGCTGGAACTTCATTTTATCAACCATAACTATACAGGTCCTGACACCTATGTATCCACTGGAAACAAAATAATCTGATGGCTATATGGTGGCTCATGGAAGCGACTGGGAAGAGGTTTTAGCCGTACAATGTTAATTCCTGGCTCACTGATGTTCATACTGCATGTAAGATTTCTAACATGAGGCTGTGAAACCTTCCCTGTTGGAAATTAACATTTGGATCTAGAAATTTTATCTCCTAAAGAAAAGCACCAAAAAATAATCATGCAAAACCACCATAAACTTTCTGTTCCATATGTTCCTACTAGGAGGGAGAGATGACTTCACTTATGTAATAAGATTCAGACGAATGAGTTACTTACAATGAGACGCCTTTTGCCTTCAAAATATTCCAGGAGGTCGTTCACTGATTTCCTGGGAGGCTGTAGGAAAGGCTTCTTGTTGGGCTTGGGGAAATCCTCATTCTCAGTCCTGCTCCCTTTCTTGTTCTTCTTGCTACGGTCTTTGTCCTGCTTGCTCTTTTTCTCAGCTTTGTCCTTCTTGGATTGCTTCTCACTCTTTTGCAGCTTGTCAGGTCTGTCCTTCTTCTTCTTCTTCTTCTCGGGTTTATCCATTCGCTCGTGCTTCTTTGATTCTTTTCCTTTCTTTGGGGGAATATTTCCTGCTGCAATCTCTTCCTCTAAATGGGAACTAGCTGGCTTGCTCGGATCATATTTATCTTCATATTCATTGCTCAGTATCTTTTCTTGGGCCTTCTTTTTTGATGGTTTAGTCTTAGTTGTTTTGTGTTGCCCTGGTGTGACATTCAGGTCCCTATGGTTATAGTCCTTCCTGTCTGTTCGATTATCTTTAAATCTACCCACATTGGCCTTTGTGTAGTACACTGAGGGGGCTGTTGGGACTTCTGTGGAACTGTCATAGCGGGCAGCTTTGCTTGGTTTCCGTGTGGCCGCTGGGTGTTTCTCTGGGTGGCCACGCTGCCGGTCCCTGCGGTTTGCCTTCCACACAGGAGAGTAGAAATCCTCAGAGGCTGTGACTCGTGGCGTGGTCGCATCGGGAGCTACTGGAAGCCTGTGGTACTCTGTGGTGGAATGTGACTTTGTGGTCCAGGTCCTCTGAGTGGTGGGGAGGGGTGTAGTTGTTGTCATAGACCGGCTTGCTGTTGTCACTGCACGTGTGGTGGCACGGGTAGTTGTGGTGGGAGGGAGGGTAGTGGTCCTTACTGTAGGCAGAGAAGTGGCCACCGTGGTTGTCATTGGTTTCCTCACTGTTTTGGTCCTTGTGGGTTGATTATTGCTCCTCCTTGGCTCCTCCTTCCTTGCTGACACCTGGACATGTCCACCACCAGGGGTAGGCTGCGTGCTGCCCCCATTATTGGCTTCCTCAACCACTTGTCCCTCCACCCCAGCTGCTTTGCAAGTCTGGATGAAGCCTTTCTGCCTCATCTTTTCAATTTTTCTGATAGGGCTCTGATCAATAACTTCATACATAGCCTCTAGCCTGACTGGATAAGGGTACCTTTCCTCCACCTGCAGCGTTTTCTTCAACAGCACCATGCCAAATTTCCCCTTCTCCAGTTTCAGAAAGCTCATGAGCTTAGGTATGAGGGCAGGATCTAGTGGCTGCTCCAGGATTTTTCCTTCGTTGGTTATCCTTCTGACTTTTCCCCCTTCTTCCCCTTCATCATGGAACAACACAATCTGCTGGATGTGCCTCTCAGCCAGTTCGCAGTAAACATCGTTCTTCAGCAGGCTCATCATCAGCCGGTAGTAGCCCTCAGAGGCATGGGGAGCAGAAATGACCCACACCCGATTTTTCCCAGCAAAGCTGGCCAGGACATTGGGAGAACTTGACCCCGAAGGGAAACGTACCACTCGTGTCTGTGAGGCAGAGGATATCCCTTCATCCTTAATCATCTCAGACTTGGAGTATTTGGCTGCAGCTGTGAGTCTCTGTACCCGTCTCGTTCTAGTCCCCGTGCCCCTGGCCTGGGAACGCGCTTCCCCTTGCAGGATATTGGCAGGTGCCTTTGGAGGTGCTGAAGAATCCCTCTTGGTGACAGGGTGTTGGGGATTTGGGCTCAAATTCCTCAGGGATGCTCCAGACCTTCTCAGGAGGCTGCTTTGAGCCCTGTAAGCCAGGGGCACTTTCCTAACTCCATGGCTCCCTCTCTCTGCTAGCCTCACAGTCTTCTCAGAGCCACATACTAGCCACGCTGCCCACAGTAGGGCTAAGCTGAGAGCCGGCCTCCAGTTCATTGTGCAATCCGCTTGCAGGGAGGGGGAGAAAGAGAAAAAGTTAGATGTTAACAGTAGGATGATATCTTGTGCAAGTGATAAAAAAAGCAGAGCGCAGGCTGGCTATTTTTTGTGATTTAAAAGTGCTGATTACACCTCAGTCCTGCCCTGGTAGCTTTGTACAGTTTATAGTTATTTCTGGAAAAGTACAAAATGGATCATTTAATGCAAAAATGAGATCATCCGTCTGTAACATGACTCTGTCTACCCAAAAGGACACTGTGATCTGCATCCTTCTCTCTCTGTCTCTCACGCTCTCACATACACACATGCAAACACACACAGGGAATGGGTTCGGTACGTAGAGGAGAAAGCCAAGAATTTGATTTGAGACTTACACTCTCAGGGAAGTTTCCCTTCCAGCGACGAGGTTTCGTGTCTTTTTCCTTTAAAAGGAGACCAATGCCATACAGCTTTGCTGCTGCCCAGTGATTTATCTTCACACACCCAACAGGTCCCAGAGCCTATCCGTCTCCCTGTCTATCTTTTAACTTTCTTTCTACTTCACCTTCTTGACAAGCGGGATGAGGTTAGCGGAAATTTCCTCTGGGATCTCTGCTTCTCCATTTACCTGCAGGTCTGGCTTTTTGCTCTACCAGTTACCCGCACAGGCAGGGATTTCATTTAAGAAAAGGGAAATCCCGGCTGCTCCGAGTCTCTATCTTTTAAACTTCCCAAGCCTCCTTCCCACTTCTTGCTTCCTCAGTCCCGTTTAGCTCCTTTGTTTCCAGAGAGGAAAGCACCAGCATTAATATATTTTCCAGGCTGAAGAAAAACACAGGAATGTGATGCTGAAAAAAAAAAAAAAAAAGGACGCTTCCCTTTCCCTTTTCTCCACACTTCGACAAAAGCAAATTGTAAAAGACTTGTCTTTTCTTAAAAAAAAATGCCCCCGGTCCCAGAAATGTCAGGGTACCCCCAGCCCTGCTCCGAAGCAGCCTCAGACAACGGTGGCCACTGGAAATGGGGGAAACTTCACTCAGGATTTAACAGCTCAGCAGAACCCGCCTCCTCCCCACTCCGACACAGGGAGGGAGGAGGAAGGCTCTGGGGGCTGAAACACTGCACAGCATCACAGAGCACTTCAGAGAGGGTGACTCCAACCTTAACTCTTTCCTTCACATGTCCCAGCTCCCTGGCACTCCCCAAGCTTGGCTTTCTCTTTCAGACACTGTCTGGATAAAAAATAGTCCTGTGAGAAGTGCGTTTCCCCATCAGTGTCAATAACAGCTCTGGTGTTTAAGAGTTACTGGGTTTCAACCCCATTATTTCTGCCTCCTGTTCTCCTTTGCCTTGTTTGTTTGCTTTCTGGGAGTTCTCCAGTTAAATCCAATTTCTCCTCACTTTCCAACCAATTTCTTTTTCAAGTCCTCATGTACGTTGGTGTAGTCTTTTCTGCAAACATCATATGGGCATGGCTGTTTGTTAATTTGTAATTTTTAAAGAGATCAGGATATTTATTTTATTATTGTATTAAAATTAGAGCTGCATGTATTTCCCATGAATGTGCACTAGCAATAAAAAAAAAAAAAAAAAGAAAAAAGATAGAAGATGCAAAAATACCTTAAAAAAAAGAAAAAAGATAGAAGGTGCAAAAATACCTTACATGGGTAAAGACAGGGTCACGTCCTTTGCTCTCCCTTCATGGTGTAAATGACACCATTCTATTGTGCTGACGTAAACTGCCACAGCAACGCTGCCAGCACCTGGTCTTCAGCCGATTCACACTGGCTTCAGTGTGTCATGCACCTTCAGTGTAAAACACCACTTAATTGTAGTTGATGGCTAACATCTAAAAACATGCAAGACCTTAATACTACTTTTACAGTTTTCCAAGATTTCACTTATTTACAGAAATGCTGTTACATTTCTGTGATAACATACTGGATTTGACCTCAGTTATCTTGAGTGGAAGGGGAATGTGTACCTTCTACTTCTCTTAAAATTAATGTTTCAAGGATAAAAATTTTTCTTTCTCTCTTTCCTTATTTGCTTTATTTTTACTTTTAAGTTGTCCAGTACACTGATAAACACTAATAGTGTTTTTGCTAATACGTGTTCAGAGTTTGCATTCTGTGGCCAGTGGTTTGCCCTGGAGGTAGGGGAGGATGCTGAATGCCTGTGCTCACGTTAACATGAGTGAAAAAATGCACAGCCCCTCCCAGAATGTCATATCCTACATCAGCTGGGAAGTAAGAGGGTTGTACCTCTCACAAGGACCACAAAACTGGAGCTCTGCAGAGCAAGGGTAGGTAACATTTTCCACTTAAATTAGTGGCAGGTCTGCTGGTTTATTAATCTTGACAAGAAAAAAAGTCTCTAAACATTACACTTTTCAATGTGGCCTTTTAAAGAAGATATAATTCAAAATTATGTTTTCATTTAAATGTTTCCTCCAGTTTTATTACAAAGATTAAAAAAAAAAAAGGTGACCCTACAAAACTGAAGCCAAATATTTAATTTTTTTTTTAAAAAATGAGTTACCTCCATTTTCTTATTGTTGATGATAGTTTGAAACCACACAGAAGCAAAACATCATTTATCTGCATAGGTCTAATGAAGCCAAGAAAAACACACTCCATATATGACAACAAAGGAAAGAGATTTCCTTATTATCTCTGCTGTCTATTCTATCCAATTATAGATACACTAAAGAATTTCTGTAAGGACTTTGCTTTGCTCTCCCAACCTGATTAAAGAAGTAACGTGCTACAGAATCTGTCTTAAATGTGTCAAGGGGTGGCAGATCAGTGAAGATGATAGATTGTAAGGCAGCTGTAGGGAGAGACTAGCACACAAGAAGACATGGAGCCCCAGGGATTATTTCCAAGGCTGAAGCTTCTTAGTATCTTTAGCTGAGGTGAGGAATAAACTTGAAATGACTGCCGGTAATATTTGGCATCAGAATTTCTTAGAAAGTAATTTATACAGGCCAACATGAGACTTCTGGTAAAGTGAACATATAGTTTAAAGGGCCAATGCAAGGTCATAGAGCAAGGAGCAAAAAAATGCACGAAACATGCGTAAGATAAAGAACAATATCCTGGAAGGGAGCTATTCTGTAAGGAACTTAAAAGTCACAGTATAGAAGCCACTGGAAATAAGCTTTTGGTATGATACTGCAGCAAGGAGAAAGTTTGTCAGCACGTCAACGAGAAGTTAGGAAGTCATATGTAGCAGCAATAAGGTGGTTACTGCCGTGCACATCAAGCTTTTCAAGAGGATTGCAAAGGGTTCAAAAAGTGACCTGATGTTTGGATACAATCACATTGAAATAGTGTGGCACAGCCACACCTTGGTCATGATCTTCTCATGCATACACAGGAAAGAGACTTCTGATAGTAAATTGCTTTTTATCCAGCAGAGGAAGGCAGAAGGATATCCAATGATTAGGAATTAAATTCTGACAAATGCAGACTTGCAAACTGCAATTACTTGCAATGTTTAAATAATGACTTCAGTTAACCCTTGGGATAATTTCTCCAAGAATGTGGTGGTTTTCTGCTGCTTAGTCTTCAAATCAAGCCTCTAAGAGACCTTGGCTGGACTGGAAGTCATGGCAAAAGGATGGAATGAGATCCCTATGGACACATCTATGTGGGAAATTTGAGATCAAAACAGCACCCACCCCTGAAGAGTGCAGCTCACTGGAGGGTTAGGGAAATTAATTCTCTAGCCCACTGAACCGACACGAGCAATTTGAGAAAGCAAAATGCAGTGTACAAAGCCTTTAGCCCTCAGAGTGGTTTTAATAAGGAACTGAAAGTTAATGCTATGCCCACAAAGGGAAAATATATATCTGTTTAAGGATGACAGTATTGTAAGTCTTTCTATATTCTGCTTTAGGCAGCAGACTGAAATACATATATCTCAAGTCTGTCAAGGTGTGTGTGCACAACCACGTTATTTCAGCTGCTAAGGAATTAAACAGAAAGTCAGCTACCTCCTGAACCAGGCTTCTTTCTCAGTCCTCCAAAACCTGGAGAAATAAGGTAGCAGCAAGAAGGAGACAGCCAGAGGTGCAAGTGGGAAGAGCTTTCTTTTTCAATAGGCTTCCAGGCAATCCTCCAGAGAATGGGGGGACACTGATTACAGGGAAGGCAAGGGACTGGGAAAACTGGCATCAGCTGCTTTGTACAGTGCTGGGGAGCCGAGAGCCAGATAAGCAGGTGTAGTAGGTTCCCCTGCTGATGCCAGTGGGGGGTTATTAGAGTAGAGAGCACCAGAGCCTGAATCCTGTGAAGCCAGACATTGTTGATGCTCTAAGAAGAGACAGGTTTCTTGAACCCCGCTGGCTCTTCACTTTCCTGAGAGGGGAGGAGGCTATTATTAGTGATCTGACTGGGGTCATAACCCAGTCAGCAGCTGGGGAAATAACAACTAATAGTGTAAACAGGGGAACTGCACTGCAGCCCCCTGTATGTAAGCAGGAAAAGGAGTCAGTACAAGGAGGCTTGCAAAAGCAGTGACCCATAATAAAAAGAGCAGTGCCTGGTTAGTCAGATCAAGCTCCTAAAATAGAAAGGCACTTTTGATAAATAGGTTGGCCTCATTTGAGTCTTCACTTTTTAAATATACATTTTTCTCTGGAGTCTCCAGGAATATTGCTTAGAAACCTGTGATGCAATGCGACACTTAAGCTTTAAAAAGAAATATTACAAACTTTAAAATTAAACGTTTTAAACTGAGGCTAAGCCTCCTAGGTAATGACAGGGTTACAGCCCCAAAGGTCCAGGCTATATATGAGATACAGTGAAATTCTGATGTCTAGGTGTTATTACTGGCCTGTGCTTGAGCTGACCTTGAGTTTAGCACCTCTCCTTGTCCAGTTTACAGAGCTTCCTGGTGAGAGCAAGGCTCTCACATAGACCTATTTCTTGTTCTCCATCTGGTTGACATCTGGGATGGAAACATCAGCCAGGGAGAACAAAATATCTTCTGGCCAGGACTGACACCAGTTCTA